ACTTAGAAAATATTTGCCATTCAGGACCAGAGCCCCTCTGGTCTCTCTTCCAGAGCTTCTGGTCTTCATGACCAGAGCCTCTGGTTGCACTAATATATGACGAGAGCCCCTCTGGTCTCTCTTCCAGAGCTTCTGGCTTCACGACCAGAGCCTCTAGTTGAACCAACCCATAGAAAATAATTCCACATCAAGGACCAGAGCCCCTCTGTGGTTTCTTCCAGAGCTTCTGTCTAGCACAACTTGATACAGAGCTCTCATATAGAGCTTCTGGCTATTATACCTTGATACAAAGCTCCCATGTAGAGCTTCTGTACCATATAACTTGATACAGAGCTCTCATACAGAGCTTCTGTATAACCTTCTTTAAAGTGGTTTCTAAACAAAACGCGATACAGCGTATTCACCAAATGAAATCTAAACTTTGAATTCGAACTCTAAAACACGAAGTTTGGAACATGAGCCTTCTAGAGTTCTATACAGGGCCAAAGGCACAGCTAAACATTGTAACAACATAAATTTTGGTTGAGTATTTACCTCTAAATGACGGGAAAGCAGGGGGTTCTTGCCTGGTCTTGAACTCCGGTTTCTCTCTCTCAAGCTCAACGATTTCCTTCTTCTTTTCAAATGAATAGCGACCCTAACCAGTGCCCATAATATATACTCAAACGATTTAGCCTATTAGTTGACCAAATCGGCCGAATCCCTAGTTTTAGGCTGTGAACGGCTTCTCCACAGCCTGCAACCGGTAGGTCACAGTTTCCCCTTTTGAACCAGGCACCGCCTGTTCCTCTTCTGTCTCTCTTGATCATTGATAGCAGGCCACCCTGTTGCAGGTCTGTTGCCTATTTACAAAACAGGTCCTTCTGGTTTGGACCTGCTTACACACGACCCAGTCCCTTAACTTCCGCGAATTGACAACTTTCACCCAGGTCTTGACTTCTTCCTTCACTTTTGGTCCGACTTTTAAACTTATTTCAACCTTCTATTTTTATTTAATATATATATATATATATATATATATATATTCTTAAAATAAAATACTAATAAAGATAAATTATTTATTCCACAAATTTTTGGGTTTTACAACTCTCCCCTCCTTCAAGAAATTCCGTCCTCGGAATTAAAACTTGCTAAAACAACTGAGGATATCTAGCCTTCATCTCTTCTTCTGGTTCCCACGTCATTTCTGCTCCCTTGTGGAATTTCCACTTAACTAATACCAATGGTATACTTTTGTTTCTTAGTCTTTTCGTCTTCCTATCCAATATGTCAATTGGCTCTTCCACATAGGCGAGTTTGTCGTTAACCTYGATGTCTTCCAGATCCAGAACARTWGATTCGTCAGCTAAACACTTCCTCAAGTTTGACACATGAAAGGTATTGTGAATACTGCCTAACTCCTCCGGTAGCTTCAACCGATAAGCAACTGCTCCTACTCTTGCAGTTATTTCAAACGGTCCGATATACCTTGGACTTAGCTTACCTTTCTTCCCAAATCTTACGACCCCCTTCCATGGCGATATCTTCAACAAAACCTTATCACCTACTTGGAATTCCAAAGGTCGACGTCTTCTATCAGCATAACTCTTTTGCCTATCTTGCGCAACCTTTAACCTTTCCTTGATCTGTACGATTTTATCAGATGTCTGTTGGACCAACTCGGGTCCAGCTAGTTGCCTTTCTCCAACGTCTGCCCAACAAATTGGAGTTCTACACTTGCGGCCATATAACGCTTCAAAAGGCGCCGCCTTGATGCTCGAATGATAACTATTGTTATAAGCAAATTCTATCAATGGGAGGTGGTTGTCCCAACTACCTCCAAAGTCAATCACACAAGCTCTCAACATATCTTCTAGTGTTTGTATTGTCCTTTCACTCTGGCCAYCAGTTTGAGGATGATATGCAGTGCTCATGTTCAGCCGCGTTCCCATTTCTTGTTGGAAACTTGACCAAAACCTCGAAGTAAACCTAGCATCTCTATCTGAGACAATGGATATCGGCACACCATGTCTCGACACGATCTCATTGACGTACAGTTGGGCCAATTTTTCTAATGTATACTTGTCATTGATCGGTAAGAAATGAGCAGATTTCATTAGTCGATCCACAATTACCCATATGGCGTCATGTCCCTTTACCGTCCTTGGAAGTTTGGTAACAAAATCCATCGTTATCATATCCCACTTCCAAACTGGGATCTCCATTTGTTGCAACAATCCAGACGGTCTTTGGTGCTCGGTCTTCACTTTCAAGCACGTCAAACATTTTCCCACGTAGCTAGCTACTGCCCTTTTCATGCCAGGCCACCAATAGCTTTCTTTTATATTCTTGTACATCTTATTACTACCTGGATGCATAGTATATTTGGACTTATGTGCTTCATCCATCACTACCTTTCTTAGATCTCCCAAACTAGGAATCCAAACCCGATTCCCATGTCTATATATTCCATCTGGTCCAGCTGTCAAGGTCTTAATTTGTCCAATCATTCTCTCCTTTTTGATGTTCGTTTCGAGCAAAGCTTCCTTTTAAACATCTTGTATTTGGTCTAGAAGTTCCACTTTAACACCCATCCAGATGGCTCGAATTCTGATTGGTCCGTTTCTCTCCTTCCTACTAAGTGCATCGGCAACTACATTTGCCTTACCTGGATGATAGTGAATCTCACAATCATAATCTTTAAGTAGTTCCATCCATCTTCTTTGTCTCATATTTAGCTCCTTTTGATCAAACAAGTACTTAAGGCTCTTATGGTCAGTATAGATCATACACTTCGTACCGTACAGATAGTGTCTCCAGATTTTTAACGCGAAGACAACAGCTGCTAATTCCATGTCGTAAGTTGGGTATTTCCTCTCGTTTTCCTTCAATTGACGAGACGCATATGCAATGACCTTGCCTTGCTGCATTAGTACACAACCTAAACCCATCTTTGATGCATCGCTGTAAATGACAAAATCTTCTACTCCTTCCGGTAGTGCTAAAACCGGTACAGTGCTTAGGCTCTCCTTGAGTATCCAAAAGGCTTCTTCTTGTTTCGTCCCCCAATCAAACCTAACCGACTTCTTTGTCAGTGTTGTCAAAGCATCTTGGAGAAATCTTGGATGAATCTTTGGTAATACCCCGCTAGGCCTAGAAAACTTCGGATCTCCGATACTGACCTTGGAGATTCCCAGTTCATAACTGCATCAATCTTAGCCGGATCCACCTTGATTTCTTCCGCGTTGACTACGTGACCGAGGAATTGTACCTCATGCAACCAAAATTCACATTTTGAGAACTTGGCGTACAATTGCTCTTTTGCTAATAATTCAAGAATCATCCTTAAGTGTTGTTCATGCTCCTCTTTACTTTTCGAATAGATCAAAATGTCATATATAAAGACTATGACAAATTGATCCAAATACAGTCCACAAACTCGATTCATCAAGTCTATGAATGCCGCAGGTGCGTTTGTTAACCCAAACGGCATTACTACAAATTCGTAATGTCCGTATCGAGTCCTAAAAGCGGTCTTTGACACGTCCTCTTCTCGAACCTTCAACTGATGGTAACCTGATCTCAAATCAATTTTCGAGAAACAGCTGGCTCCTTGCAACTGATCGAAAAGGTCGTCGATCCTTGGCAATGGATATCTGTTCTTTATCGTGATTTTGTTCAACTCCCGATAATCGATACACATCCTCATCGTGCCGTATTTATTTTTGACGAACAAGATCGATGCTCCCCATGGCGACGAGCTTGGACGGATAAATCCTTTATCTAAGAGTTCTTGCAATTACTTCATTAGCTCTTGCATCTCTGTTGGGGCTAAGCGATAAGGTGCCCTCGCGATTGGTACCGCACCTGGTATCAAATCGATTCGGAACTCTACCTGACGTTCCGGTGGTATTCCCGGTAATTCATCCGGAAATACTTCTGGGTAATCCTTCACCACTGGTACCTCATGTATGGCCTTCTTTTCGAGCTTGGCGTCGATGGTGTATGCCAAGTAAGCCACACAACCCTTCCGCAGACACTTATTCGCCTTAATTGCATTGATCAACCCTACGCAACACTTCTTTCGATCACCGTAAACCTGGATCGTTTCTCCTTCCGGAGTTTGAATCTTGATCATCTTTTTATTGCATAGTATTTGCGCATGATTGTTGGACAACCAATCCATCCCTAAGACTACGTCAAAACCTCCTAGGCACATTGGCATAAGCCTAACAGGGAAATCCTTCCCATCTATAACAATCGTGCATTCATCAAATACTTCGTCTATCTTACACTGAATACCGTCGACTGTTTCTACAGTGTAGGTTTTGTCTAGTCTACAGGCACTCCTATTCAGATAGTGACAGAAGGTAGTAGACACAAAACTACCATTCGCACCCGAATCAAATAACACATGTGCATACACATTGTTSATAGGGAACATACCAGATAAGACGTCGGGTGTTTCCTTGGCCTCCTCCAAAGTCATGTTGTAAGCTCGGCCGTGTCCCTTAGGTAGCTCCTTCCTATTTTCCGCTCTCTTCCCGAATCCGTTATTCACTGTCTTCCCGTGGGGTGTCGCACYATTGCGACRYTTTGGACAGTCAGGRCGCAAATGTCCCGTAGCCCCACATTCGTAACAAGTCCTTCCTTCCGGGCACTCTCGTGCGGTGTGCCCCGGTTTGTCACATTTATAGCATGTCAGGCTCCCTGCTCTGCACTCTCCTCTATGCCTCTTGTTGCATTTGTTACATGAAGGGATAGTGAATTCCTCACTTCGTGTTTTTGCCAGAGTAGGAGTCCATTTGGATTTCTTGTTGAACTTGCTCAATCCTTCCCACCTTCTCTTTGCCTCTCTTCTATCACCAGTCTCTCTAACGTTGTTCTCCTCTGCCACCTTTGCCATCTCCATTGCTTGTACGAAAGTGGTCGGCTTAGTCATGTCCACGTAACGTTTGATTTCGATTCTTAGGCCGTCCTTGAAACGACCTATCTTTCTCTCCTCGGTAGCCACCTGGTAACTGGCGAACCTCGCTTTTTCAAGAAACTCGTTAACATATTCTTGAACTGACAATGATCCTTGCTTTAATCTCAGGAATTCGGATTCTAGCTTGTTCACCTCTGTTTGCGAGCAGTACTTATCCATCATCGTCTTTTTCATTTGCTCCCACGTCATGGCAGCAATGCCCTCATCACCTCTGATAGCACACTCAGTCTCCCACCAATGCAATGCATAGTCCACAAAGGTTGTGGTGGCATAAGTCACCTTTTGATCTTCCGCACATCTACAAATTTTGAAGAAGCTCTGCATCTTGGCTACCCAGTTCATCAGGCCAACTGGGCCCTCTATTCCTTTAAATTCCTTCGGCCCGGTGCCTTTGAATGTTTTAAAACTGCATCCTCTCTCCTTTGCAGTCAACTCGGTTCTCTCGATGATGAGCGACTCCACCTTCTCTTTATCAGACACTTCCACCCTTTCAGGGACTTGAGTGTTCTCGTGTCGAACGCTTCCTTCCTCCCCACTTTCATTATCCTTAAGTCTGTCACCCAACATTTCTTTAAGCATATTTGGCAACGTATTCCGGAGGACTTGTGCCATTTGTTCAGCCATCACTTCCTTTGTGAGAGGAATTTCTCCTCCTTGGCCCCCTTGGCTCCTACCGATAGCCAAACTAGCTGGCGCGGATGGGGTCATACTCGAACTAGCGGTTCAGACACTTTTGCGACCTCGACTTTGGGCTCGTGTCCGTCCCCGAACTGTCGGTTGGGCTACGCCATTGATACCTCCCCCATTGCGGGCGTTCCTTGTTGATCCGCGAGAAACCATACTGACACAATAGAGTATTATTGTTTCAACAAGGTTCTAGAGTCGACTTAACATATTACACTTATATTTATACATTATACGTATACATATACATGTATAGTATAATCACTATATATCAGTGAAATACATGATAAGAAATTCACGTCGCAATTGCATAATGCTCCAAAAGATATATATATATATATATATATATAGTTCCAATACAATCCTGGGGAGAGAGAGACATTACAAAATCCCATTTACTTACAAAAGATGGGATGCTTCACGGTTCTAAATACAGGTAAATGTTCCAAAAATCTATCGTAGCACTGGCTAGAAGAAAACTACCTAAACACGTACAATTAATTCTCCTACTCAAAAGATCCTTCTCTCATCCCTGATCCCATGTCTAAAACTGATCTGCAGGGTAGT